TTTCTCTCTAGCACATTATCTTCTGTACTTGGACATTTTAAAAGATGATTGTATGGTGTAAATGCTCAGAGAATTGAAATGAAACAAGGCGGGGTCTAAAACCTGAAATAGCAACAAAATATATAACCACGTATATGTACATACCTATGTACACGTATGTTTTTTGTGAATAATACATACACAGACACATCTGTGTCTGCACATGCGCACACTCTTCTTCAGTCGCTACTATTCCATAGGGAATTCTATATTAAACTCATATGCTGGAAACTCCCCTTGTGGCAGGACTGGTACAGTGGAAATTGCTGTGCAAACCCAAACTGTTCTCGTTTTAGTGTTGATAAGCTAGCTGGTTAATATGTCAGAAAGGCTCTGCTTTTAATTCTGTAGAAATTCACTAGCAAGGTTAAAGAAGTTCAATAGGGTGGAAAAAGAATAAAACTGCATATTTAGTCATTGTATTTAAACTGGAGCTGTGGTTGGAAATTTGGTTAGCATATTCACGGGCAATCTCAGATTGTTACAGAAGCTTTTAGAGTCTCATTCCAATGGACTTACCCTCGACCAGATACTCAGTGGCACCGATAGTAAGATAAAATACATTGTCTTAAGCTGTACAAGACGTACTGAGCTCCGGGTTGAAGTTTTTAAGAAACATTCCTGCCGAGTTTGCCCCTCTCTGCGTGTTATCTGAACCATCTGGGCTTCCTGCAGGTTAACGGCCAAAGACAGGAAATCCAGCTGACTTCTGGAAGAGGCCCTCGGACAGCGCGCGCCATCATAGTTTCTTCATAGGAATGTTTAACATCCTTCTCGTCTTTGCTCTGATCTGTATAATGGGATCTTTTTTTAAAAAGTGACATGGAGCAGACGTTGGCCCCTGGCTCTGGGAGCAAGCACCGCATGACGCTGAAGCATAGGAATTAAAGCACTTTCTTAAAATCCTTAACATAGGTCCAGCGCCTTTTTTAAAATGTTTGCATGCTGCTTGAATCTTCTAAAACACATACCTCTGTCATAGCATCTCGGGCTACGCTGATGCATTATACAGATCAGATCAGACTTGGGTTGAGTATTTTTTTTTTAGGTGTAGTAAGTCTGCCTTCATTGAATATAGAGCGCTTGCTGAGTTTCAGTGAGACACCTGTAAACCTGGATCTGTCTGTCCTCTCTTCTGTCTGTGACGGTTAATGTGCACCAGGCTTTAAACGGTTCAGTGCGACTCCTGTGGGTCTGTTTCTGCTGCGTTAAAACACAAATTGGAAACGATAACCTGCAAAAGCCATAATTAGATGCAGAGAGGGAACTGAAATGAGAACACTGGTCCTGTCTGCGCTGCACCCTGCAGTGGGAGGTTTAACTCTCTGTGGTCCAGGCACTTACTACCTTCTTCGGTCCTCTCTTTCTTTCTGAAACGGAGTGCCCGAGGCTCTCCCCGCGGGCACAGCTGTCCATATGAGAACTCACAGCTCCTTGGAGATACACCGATCTCCGCCTTCTCTTAGGTGATCTGTAGACAAAGAACCTGTCAATAGTTCTGTCCATAGTTTTACAGCTTGTATTTATTTGTATCATCTCTTTTGTCTAGGAATGTAAAGTGATCCTAAAATACAACGTGTAATAAAAGTCAATAAGATTTATTGCATCTATCAAAATGTGCCCGTTTTTCGTTATTTGTAAGCAATGGCAGGGTTTGGCGACTTTATGTTTTACAAGGCCTGACGTTATTTTTCTTCCAAGGAAAAAAAGCATCTCTGGGCAAACTCCGAAGCAGTAGAACGTAAGCAAGAGTAGAACTGCCTGACGTCGTGGCAGTGTCCAGCACCTCAGGAACCACGAGTGCTGCAGAGCCCCGGCCGGGGTCCCTGCCTGATGGCGGGCTAAGCCAGACGAGCCGGCAGGCCCCGGTGCTCCTCGCTAGAGGGAAGCGACGAGGGCGGCGGCGGTAACGGGCGGGCAGAAGGAGCCCACACCCGCAAGCGGTGTCGATTGAAATGAGTCCAACACCAGCGACTTCTGCCCGTGGTGGCTCGGCTCCGTGGGGTAGAAGCTGCCTCAGGGCATAACCCGGGTCATGAAACGCGAACAGCCGGAGCCCTCAGCCGGGGAGCAGCGAGAGGCCGCGGCGGGGGCCGACATCTTCCCTCCTCACGGCAGGGAGACGGGCGGGCGACCGCGGCCCCCCCGCCGCCTGCCTGCCTGCCTGCCTGCCTGCCTGTCTTCTTTCCCTCCCTCCCAGGTTTGCCGGAGCCCGCTCTCCCCGGGCCGGGAACGCCGGCCACGCAGCCGCCTCCCGGCCCGGGCGGTGCCGCTTCTCCCACCGCGGCCCGGGGGAAGGAACCCCGCGGCCATGAGGCGAGGCCGACGGCGGCGACCGTTCCCGGCATGCCGCGCGGCGCGCGCGGCACCCGCCGGCAGCTGTAGTCCGCTGACGGAGGCGGGG